TTGAATGAGGTTCTAACAGCTATTGAATGAGGTTCTAACGGCTATTGAATGAGGATTTAAAGGCAACAGAACGAGGTTCTAAAGGCAACTGAATGAGGTTCTGAAAGACGTTCTTAATGAGGAGTCATGGTGAACCGGGCTCGGTTCTGATCAGTGCGGTTCTGTTGGGTCGGAGCTGCCGGACTCACCGATGATGATGTATTTGAAGATGTAGGAATAGTTGTAGGGAGCGGCTGTCATCGTGACTCTGGAAAGGAGACAAACAGGGAAATAATCAGACCCGGACCGGTTCCGACAGCTTGAACCGGATCCACCCTCCCTTACGGAACCCTAACCCGACCCGGTGGACGCTAGTCTGGACCCTGGACTCGGTTCCATGGCGGTTTACCTTCTTTAGCAGAAGTCTTAAAGCCGATCAGCTGACTTCCCTCTCTGAGCTAAGCGGCTAACGGCTAACAGCTAACAGCAGGAGGCCACTTTTCTCTGAAACTACGGCAGAAATAATCAAACTACAGCCTGTCAGACCGTCCGGAACCAGAACCTGTAGTTTTACCTTAGCTGCAGTGGTCTGGTTCTCCTGTAGACTGGTTAACCTGCTGGTTAAGCTGCTGGTTAGAGCTGTTAAACCGCTGATCCGTCACGGTCTCACGCTTCCGCTTCTACTTCTTCTTCCTCTGCTTTTCACCGCAGATTCCATCTAATAGAGTTACTTCTGCCACCTAGTGGAGCTATCCACCGTTCACGCCTTTCTCTTGGCGGTTGGCAACAAACATTTAGTAGCCTTACCGCTACTTCCTGGTATGGAGTGTGGTTCTTGATGGACTATCTACTAATAAACAGATATATAATTTCTAATGAAAAAAAGAAAGAAAACAAAACAACAACAAAAAAAAAACTACATTCACCCTCTCTATAATCAAATTCTATTAAATAATTTCGTTCTCTTTAAAAATCAAATACTTATTTGTAAATGTTTACTTTCTAAATTCTTCCTTAATAATATAAATTATAATAATGAATCTATACACTCTCTCCTCATATATCTTCTCTCTCTTTCATATTGGTGACATTCCAGTATAAAATGTTCTATTGTTTCAGATTTTCCACAGTAATCACATTTTCCGGTAGTTTGATTTTGAATGTTGAAAAGTGTTTAATTAAGTCCTGTTTGCTCAAATCTTAACCTCGTTATCTCTCTCTCCTCTTTCCCATTTCTTCTTTTTCCTACCATCTTCTGAATTTTATAAACCATCTTCCTGTTTTTCTTCATCCCACCTTTTTGCCATTTTTCCATCAGTTTTTCTTGAATAAAACTCTTTCCCGCCGATTTACTTGTTTAAACTATAAAACTAAAGGATTATGAAATATCTCTCTCAAATTAATATCTACTGTGTACGATTTATCTTGTTTCTTTATCTACTATTGCTTCTGCTAGAATCCATGGTGGTAGAACGGATATTGCTGTCTGAGTAATTTCTAAATTGGTCATTTTAAATTCTTTTATTTTGTTTTCATTTGTTCATCCAAAACTCCTCATTTCTTTTCTTTTTCTCATTATGGATTTAAAATTTCCCAAGTTATTACCTTGTAGATTTAACCAATAATTTATTTGTAGTTTTGTTCTTTTTAAATCTAACAGCATTTCTCCCATTGCTGCTGCTGATGTGGCTTTAATGCTCCAGTAAATAATCTTAATTCCAGATGTTGGATAATGTCTAATTTAGCCAGATGTGTTTTAGCTGCTGAACTGTAAACTATTCAACCAAAGATCTTATCATACCTGTATTAATCTGATTTAGTGATTGTTTATCTGCTCCCCAGTCACTGCCAACCAAGCATCTCATAATATTTAAGACTTTCTTACATTTATCAACAATCTTTTCAATATTTATATTCCATTTTAGTTTCCCACCAAACCACAGTCCTTAAGGCTTTATATACTTTACTTGCTCTAATTCTTGCTTATATAATTTTAATTTTATGTCCTCGTTTATTTGTTTTTCATTAAATATCATTACTTTTGTTTTCTCCACAGTTTTTTAAACATTTTTAGCTGCTTCTGCAAAGCTTATGTTTTTAGTTTTAGTTCTTCCTTTGCTTTCTTCCTTACTTCACATCCTCCATTAGTAACTCTACGTTTTCCTCCACAGTTGCAACCTTTTTCTCGTACTTCTTTCCATTCTTTAAACTTGTGATGTTTTGCACATCTCTGCTTCCCTTTCAAACTGCTGCTGTGTCTCCAGACCTTCGACATTTGAAGCAACAAAGTGTTGGATCTAAGGATCTAAGTTCTGACCGTAAAACTGAGATAACCTGTTTGGATATTTGGTGGAAACTATTTTTCCTTAAATTCAATGAGGATTGAAAAGCTTCCTTTTTTTTCTCCATTTTTTGTTTTTGACAATCTCTTCAAGTTATTCACTTTTCCACCAACAATTCTTCTCGTCATTTTATTAAGATCTTCATCTAGAGGTATCCCATAAATCACTCCTCTAAGTTTTTTTATTTTCTCCCAACATTAAAAGCCTTATTCTTTATTTTTACAGACTACCAATAGATTTCCATCTCAGAATCTTTACCGTTTCAACATCTCCAATTTTCTTTTTTGTTTCTCTTGACACGGCATTGGGGCTGATGTTATCCGGTTCTTCTTCGTTCTTAAGTTTTAATAAACTTTAAATTCCTCCCTCCTAACTTTCCTTTCATCTTCTGAACTACTTCCTTCCACTTCTCCTTTCCTTCCTTAAATATCACCACTTCTCTTCCCTTCATCTGTTTTATTTTTCCCTCTTTTTAATGGCGTCCAGCCTTCAGAATCCACGTCTTCCTCATTTTCTTTCTCCATTTCCAACCGATCCATTCACATAACAGTTTAGCCTTTTCCAAATCTGATATATTTTTTATTTTTCTTGCGCTGCTCCAAGTCCTTCTGACAACCAACACACCACATTCACACCCAGCTCTGTTTACTGCTTTTATAGTATTTCAGTATTAATGTTTTTATGTTGTTTTTCATGTCGTTTATTTAGATTATCTTTATTGTTGAAAGGAAATGGATCTGGCTGCCCTCAGATTCATACTCACACCTTCTTATCCCCTATAGTATACATAATCTAAATCCAGTATGTCAGCTGTTGGATCAATAAAACAATAAAAAGATTATAAAATACTTTCTTAAATCTTTAGACAACCACCTTTAGGGGTTGATGAGCTCAAATTTAAAACATCCTGTTTAATAACGGATAAAAACCAGTTTGTAGGGAATAAAAACCAGTTTGTGGGGATGGCACAGTGTAAAATCCTCCATCAGAAATCACCAGTTCATTTTTTTTATTGGAGGCATAAATAAAGTCGTCCACTGGGCGGCTTTTCTCTGTCCAGATGCAGGCCGGTGTCTTTGGTTAATTGCTTTTGTTATTTATTGCTGTTGTTAATGGGCTTTCTGGTCCATTGGATTAAACTATTCTCTGTAGGTCCAGGATGGAGAGCAGAGGTCTGCTCTGTTGGTGAAACACTTTAAGAAAATTGGGACCAATAACATCTGGAACCTTTCCTTCCCTGAATGCACGACCACAGAACATGCATTTTGACTGCTGGGAGGAGGAATTAAATCACAACAGTGTGGGAAAAGCTAAAACCATACTGGAATGTTTCACAAACCAAAATACAGAGAATGAAGTGAACTAAAGCTGAGAGGACAGAGGAGGAAATCAGCAGAATAAAGTCAGTCACATCTGAAAGAAGTCAGAGAGAGAATTTCAGAATCTAAGCTTGTTTTTCTGGCTAACAAATAATGAGATTGTTGGTCCTCCTCTTCCTCCTCTTCCTCCTCCTCCTCCTCCTCCTCCTCCTCCTCCTCCTCCGTGCGCTGAGGTCTTGCACAGGCAGCACCCGGCTGTTGGACCTCAAACTGCTTCCCACAGAGCCAACAGAGGGAGTTCAGGGAGGAGTTGTGCCGGCTGCTTTGGATTCTTTCAGCAGAGACATGAGACTGGAGATGAGCCGGCGCTGAGACAAACAGACATGGACAAACAGAAAGGTAACGAGCTCGTTTACAGCCTCTGCTTCGTCTTTGCTGGAATAAACTCTTTACAGCACAGAACATCTGTCCAACTAAAGATTTAAAATATAACATTTGAAGTTTTCAGACCATTGGTTTACTGTGAGATGATGTAAAGGGCCTACACTGTAAAAACAAGCCAGAAATAAGTAAAAATCTCTTTAATTAACTGTATTTCCCCTTAATTTGAGAAGGCAAATAAGATGATTTCCCAATGGAATGGGTATTTTTACTCTTAAAATAAGACAATGTAACTGTTTTTTAATTCTTATTTTAAATGTAAATTGTCTTGTTCCATTGAAAAAGTGTCTCACTTACCTCCTCAAGTCAAGAAAAAAATTTACTTCATTTAAGAAAAAAAAGGCTTATTTAGATTTTTGCGGTTTACTGCTGCTGTGAGAAGGTGAGAAAAAAGAGGTGGAACATTTTGTTTCTCTGAGCATCCAAAGTCTGCTTCAGGTCTCCTTTCATTACCAACCTGCTTCCAGTTCTTCCACAGGAC